ATCAAAAAGCTTAGTCACCTTAGGTACTCAAATTCATGAACAAGGTTCAAAGTCCCTTTTGCTCTCCATTGCAGTCTTCTTTTTCATTCTTATATTTTAATGACCCTTTGTTTCTTCATGTATGATGTCCTTGACACCATCCCACAACTTGTTTTGTCTCTGACCATCAGTGCTCAACGAATCAAAGCTGTTCTTCAGCTCATGGCTAACCTAGGGGGATATGTTCATGGTTGTGCTTCACCTCTCAAGGAAATTACCTCCATCGTCTTCACCTTTCAAGTGAACTAGCACATGAGCAACCACGGGCATGTTCCACAGTTAGCCTCGTTTTGATGATGATATTCTCCCTCATCTCTTCCCACATGTATAGTTATTTGATTCCTGTGTCTTCTATCTGGTGTGATAAAAGTAGGTAGTCACTATTTACATTGTTGAAAAAGGCATTTACTATGAATAAAACATTGATTTTGCAAAATTCTATCATTTGAGTCATGAGATCCTTTCTAATAGCAAGGCCGTCATTTTCCAACTAGTACACATGCTTGTCTGTTTCCAACTTTTATATTCCAATTACCAGTAATAATCAATGTGACTTTTCCCCCCAAAACCACTTTATTTGGAGCTAATACAGATATCATATAATTCCATCGTTCAATCACATCAAACAGTATTGCAGTTTTGATCAATCTAATGGTAGAACTTTATGTTTATTCCCTGGTGTCTGTGACGTGTCCCTGCTGTTATACTGTTCTTTACATAACTGAGAAGTGATTTGGTCTAGAATCTGCCCCACACTAATATAACCACAGCCAATTGATTTTATTACATCACCTTGTACTTTGGAAGGTATCCAGAGTAAAATGAGGTTTAAGAAGTTACTCATGTGAAATAAACACATGGATAATATAAGGATAGCCAATCCAATTTAAAATGTATACAAGTTAAAAGACACAAGTTTCACAAAAATGCCTAGTGGATACATGAAGTGATGCTCACTAATTTCTACGTAGAAATATGAACAGGGAGGCAAAAGCAGATACACTATGTACCCACTGGAAGGAATCTTTATGAGACAGTATTTAGAGTGCTTACTTGCTAAGCAAACAGTGGGCAGTTTGAACCTACCAGCCATTCCATGGGAGAAAGGAGTGACAACATGATTACCTATAGATTACCTGTAGATTGGAAATGTTCTGAAGCATTTCTACTGTATCTTATAGGCTCACTATGAGTCATAATTGACTCAAAGTCTGCTGGCTTGTGGTGCTCATTATACATACACCGGAGAAGCAAAAATTAAAGAGGTAACAATCCAGGGTTTATATTATATATGTCTGGTGTATATAAATGTAAATGTGTCCATATGTATAATCTAGATGTCTGTGTAGCAATACTAATATCACTATATTTATGATGATTCAGTTTGCACTTGTTATATAATGAATACACTCTATCAGCTATAATTGTTATAACATCATATTAAAAGAGACTATTTTGAAAATATAGTTTTAAAATTAAATACCATGAAGAGAAACTGCTGAAAAAAACCACCTAAGGCACCTACGCAGCTGTTCCTTTAGTTGCTGTGGAGATATTGCTAATATTCCCTGTAGTCTCTCTGCTATCTTTAGTCCTGGGGGAAAGTGCTCTGACCCCAGCCAAATGAAAGTCCCCAGGGAACTAGAATTGTGTCCCCGGGTAGAGGGCAGCTTTCCAGGGCTCCTGGGTGATGAAATCATGAAAACGCCACTCACAAACGTGCTCTCAGGCTATCCTTTGTACTGTGGCCACAGGAAAAGTAGGTGTCTGGGGGGAAAAAGCTCACGAGATTGTCTCCGGCACAGATGCAGTGTGATGGCCAATATGTCACCATTACAGGATCCCAGCAGCTAGTGATGCTGAAGTATTTGGTTTCCCTTATGAACTGATGGAATGAAGGTTAGACTGCAACCCACAGCCTTCCTGAAGTGAAGCATCTACATGAAATTTAACTAATAGCATTTTATTTCTGGAATACATAGCAAAACTGAATATAGGCTGTGAGTATTCCTGGAAATATACCATCCATGCTATTGCTCACTTGGTTCAAAAATAATAAAGGGGAAAGGCAAATAATTATACATCAGAACGTTTTGAACTTTTGGATATTTATATGATCATAAATAATAATCATAAGCCTCTAATCTTTACTTTGCAATATAGAGAGAATAATTATGATTTTAAAGTTAAACTAACAAAATATATACAAATTATTGTGAATGCGTGCATTTTCTGGAGCCCTGGTGATTCCGGGGGTTCAGCACTGTGCTGCTAACAAGCAAAGTCAGAGGATAAAGCTCACAAGCAGATCTCCGGGAGAAAGGGAAGGCCTTTGGCTCCAGCAGAGCCTTGGCAACTCTAAGGAGTAGTTCTGCACTGGCCTATCGGGCCCCCCAATCAGAACCAACTCCGTGGTTCGTTTGGTTTGGGATTTTGTGTATTGTATCTTTTTATAAATATAAACTGATTTTTTTCCAATTTACTCTTAAGGTTACATAGGTTACTTTTAAGGTAAATCTAATTCTATGAAGATAGAGTTATGAAAACATGGTATGCCTTAGAAGAAAAGATGGGAGACACTCTTAAGGGCAGTGGTATATTGCAACTGTCACAAAGCTTTCACAAATATTTCAGTCATCACAAGTTTTTTATATTTTGCTCTCCTTTTTTTTAATCCTAATGAAAAATAACTGTAATATTCCTTTCATAATGAGAAGAAGAATCGCGTTGGAAGATTGTGGTTACATGCATAAATTGCAATTTTAAAATATGGTAAAAGAAAGGAAGAAACCTGATAATAAAATCTAGAGAATAAATGGTTGAATACTATGCAAGCTGTTTTATTGAAAAGTTTTTAGTGACAGATTCTAAGGAGACAGGCATTCATAATATTTAATAGTTTTCACCATTTGGTTTGAAAAGTGGTATTAACTGCAAAATATATAACCTTTTATCAGGGTGATATTGTATAATTCCTTAGATTGGATAAAGAATTCTTAATGAAAAGTCAATCTTGTGATGCAATCAAGGTCTCTCCTGACCAAATGAATATTACTTAACATGTTAATATTTTCTTATTTAGTATATTTAATTTACTTTATGCATATTTTCCATGATATTTATCTTCAAATTTTCCTACATTTTTGCCAGCCAGTACACCGCAGAAACATCAATATTCCGCTTTGATGCCTAGTGTGTTTTTGTGTTGTTTGTTTTCTTTGTTAACCCAGTTTTATGACTTTAAACCTCTATTAAATTTATATTCAGAAGTCTGTCAGCATGAACACATCTAAAGCAATAAGTTATTCATGTGTTATTCCATTGTGATAAAGATTTTATGTATTTATTTTTACTGCAGGGATTTAAAAAATAATAATATAAAATATGTATATATATATACTGACATTTTATTATAAATGTTAAGAAACATTTTATTTTATATATATTCTGAATACTTTGACACAAATAAACATTTAAGACATCCACTTAGAATTCATTCTTTCTCTAATAACAAGATTTCTGAATTTTAAACTTATTTCTTAAAACTGGTGCTCACAAAGAGTTGTTTTAAAAGAGAAAAAACATTTAAGACAAGTTTTCTTTTAACTTTGTACATGTAAAAATTTACAATGAATAAGAAAGAACACAGAGTGTATAATGGAAGGAAAAACTGAAGAAGAATAGCTGCATTTGAATTTTGGTGTTGAAACTACCATGGGCTGCCAGAACAACAACAACATCTGTCTTGGAAGAAGTACAGCCAGCATGATCTTGGGGAGATTTTCTCTCACATACTTTGGACATGTACAAGGAGAGACGTGTCCCTGGAAAAGAAGATTATGTTGGGTAATGCGGAGCTTCGGTGAAACAGAAGAAGACCCTTAAGAAAGCGGACTGACACAGTGGCGACAATGGGCTCAAACATCACAGCAGTTGTGAGGATGATGCAGGACCTGGCAGTGTTTCTTTCTATTGTGTGAAGGGTCAGTATGAGCTGGAACCTACACAATGGCACATAACATTAACCATCAGAGTGGTATGGATATTTTACTTCAGAGAGCAAACTGAAGATTTCAGAATTAAAGACCGTGAAAACAAAATCACAAATAGGTTTTAAATATTCTATGTTTTGATATCTGAAAATAGTGCTTACCCATCTGTGTCCCACTAAAATGTAATTAATGGGATACAGCAAGAGTTTTGAAGTTAAAATTGCTGTTACTCCTTTGTTTCCACTCAGTAATGTGTGTGACTAAGAAGTCCCAGACTAAGAGGTAACTAGACCCTGGTTTTCAACCTGCATGATCCTGTTGATCCTGAATGTCTAATCCCTCAGACTAGAATATCTCAGTGATGCAATAATGCTGTGCTTTTCTATTTAATCACACTTCATGGCTTACCTTGGACTGTGATTTTAAAATCAATATGTCTGTGTTTTAACTTTGCCATACCAACTTAACAAGTAATATAGCTGTGGTAAAGCTAAATGTAAGCTCAATGTCCTTGTCTGTACTCTTCATACATAGTTACCTGAGAGAGATATTTTTAATACAAAAGGGGACAAAAGAACCTTATGGAGCCAATCTACTCTGTATACATATGGACACATGAATTATAATAAATTCTACTCTTTCAGGTATGGTATTTTGTTTGTTTGTTTTGATCAGTTGCTGAGTGGAGAAAAATCAAGCTTTTGGCTACTATTGAAAGGTTTGGATCTCCCTGTAGATGCCTCAGAAGAAAAATACGGCTAACAACTTCCAAAACCTCAGCTGTTAAAAACCCATAGTAAACAATGACTATCAGAGACAAGGGGTTGGCATAAGAAGGAATTGAAGCCGCACCAACTGTGTTGCTGTTGATGTTTAATCATTAGTAGATAAAAGAAGATTAGTCTTCCTTCTGCTCATCTATTACCCCATTGGGCTTGTTTACCCCTTGCAGATTAGAGAAGATGAAATATGGATGTGACAAATCGCACAACAGTAACGGAGTTCATCTTCCTTGGCTTTTCGGGTGTTCCACAACTCCAGCTCACATTGTTTGTGCTGTTTCTCACAGTGTACTTGCTTTCCCTCATGGGAAACACACTCATCATTTTCATTGTTCTCTTGGACAGTACACTCCAGACACCCATGTACATTTTCTTAGGAAACTTGTCCTTTCTGGAGATCTGGTATACCACAGCCACAGTGCCCAAACTGTTGGCCACCTGTGTGTCACAGGTTGTGACCATCTCCGTGGCTGGTTGTATAGTGCAGTACTACTTCTTCTTCTCCATGGGGGCTACGGAATGCATTCTCTTGGCGGTGATGGCCTATGACCGGTATGTTGCAATATGCAACCCTCTTCGCTACTCTATCCTCATGAGTCTTCAGATTTGTCTGAGGTTTTCAGCAGGATCCTGGATTGGGGGCTTCATTGCCCCACTCCTACCTACCATACTCATCTCTTATCTCAACTTTTGCGGCCCCCAGAAGATCAACCATTTTTTCTGTGACTCAGATCCAATTTTCAAACTCTCTTGTTCAGACACATTCTTAGTAGAGGCCTTGGGCTACACATGTAGCTCTGTGGTGATTCTAAGTTCTTTCCTTCTTACTATGTCCTCCTATTGGAACATTGTGCTCACAATAATCAGACTTTCTTCCCGGGAGGCTCAGAAGAAAGCATTTTCTACATGTGCCTCCCACCTGTCTGTGGTTACCATCTACTATGGCACCATTATCTTTGCCTATGTCCGACCTCCAGCTAAATACAACTTCACGATTGGCAAAGTGGTGTCAGTATTCTACTGCGTGGTCACACCATTGTTAAATCCTCTAATCTATACCCTGAGAAACAAAGATGTGAAGGAAGCTTTCAGAAAAACTCTAGAACGAAAAAGATTGCTCTGGGCCAGAAACTTGTAAGGTTTTTAGATTTCAACTAATAATGAATTTTCAAAATACACTTTTAAACTCTAAGTATTGACAGTATATTGTGAATTGTTACTATATAAGATGTACATTCATTTTGGGGTGGAATGCCACTCTATACTTAACTGTGCTCAAGAAGCCACAGTACAATATCACAGAAAGATAAGTCACACAAGGTTTTTCCATGCAAAACCTTCACAATAGGAAAATGGCCGGGAATAATCCCACATAAAGTCTTTGTTTAATATTTATATAATTGATATATTAAAATTAGTTAGAGAGTAATAAAAGAAATCTTAAAAGCTGTTAAATGAAGCAGTATTTTTCCATCTATTCGATGGGCTGTAAAACTTCATCACTTTGTAACTTAAATCTGTATTTACTCAATAAATATTTATTGAGCACTACACTTGGGGACACTAATGATGCTAGGAACTGGGATGCTAACTAATAGGTAAATGGTTCAAATCCACCAGCTTCTTTGTTGAAAATGTAAGGTCATCTCCTTTTGTAAAGATTTACAGCTTGAATAAATACTATATGAGGTTGCTCTCAGTCAAAATCGACTTGATGGCGATGGATTTTGGTTGGTACTCTTACGTATTGACCTTAATTTAAACATAAATTTAAATATAGCTTTATTAGACATGTTATTTTTAAAATATCAGATAACCTAGGTTGTTTTAGTTGATATGCAGTCACTGATAAGGTGATATGCTTCCAAATATTAGGGGAGTAACATGGCTCACATGTTACTGAAAGAAAAAATAAAATTTAAACCTCAGGACTTGGCAATATAGGAGGGAATATTTAGCTAACGTAGTGAAGCTAACTATGCTATGGGATTCCTATACACTATCCAGATGGTCAATTCATTCAGCCGAAAATAATTCTATGGAGAGGAAAAAAGAAATAGAAACCCCCAGTAAAATTTATTTTTGATGGCTATGTCTCTCCTTCCAATGTGAAAGAAGAAGCATTGATATTCTCTGTGTGTTTTAGGAGTTTATGAGCTAAAGGGATGACAGGATTATAGAAGAAACAAAATAGCAGCCACGTCTTTACCAGACCGTTTTACCAATGTTTCCCATGTGATTACCTAAACAGAAGGCTATTCAAGGTGTGCCCCATGGTCCAGTAAAATCCCCATAGTCTCTGAGCTTGCTAGAAATGCACAGTCATAATCTGCACCCAAGCATACTTAATATCATTGACTACTTTAGAGATATTCACAGGGGATTGGCATGTGCATTTAACTTTGAAAAGCAATATTGTGAGCAATTAAAAATTGTGATAAGAGAAAATAATGAAATCAAGAGCCAACTCATATCTACAATTTTTTAATTTAAATTTTGGCATTATATTCATCTCTTGGACATAGGGAAACTCTGACACAGGAACTTTTCTGAATGACTAGTTAACTTCCATTTTAAAGTGATACCAATCTGAAATGCTCTGTCAAAATCACTTCTATATGTAATTGTGAACCTACACCATGTTTTCCCTAATCCCTTCATATCTGTATCATAATATCAAAAGTTACATATTGAATATCCCAATAATAGTGAAATACATAATTTCTGTGTATACTACCAAATTAAGAGATTTTCTTAACTCATAAACAGAACTGATTTGTCAAATGTCTACTTCCTTGGTGAAATGTATATCAATGTATACATTTATATATCTAATGTATATAAAAAAATTTGTCTTAGTCACTTCATCCATTTCAAACTTATAACTGGGTTTATTTCTTGACTAGAATAAATCTAAATTACTTGGCAAATTTGAATGTGAGTAGTTTTGAGTAAATAAATATGATTGTTCAAGTTATTCATTTTATCATGACATCTTTTTAATACATTTTTAGTCTTCTATTTAAAAAATCCAATGAACGTAATCAGGGTGTTTTCTCTAGAAAGAGATAATATGAGAATAAAAATATCTGTAGACAGATGTATTAAGGCAGACAATGCTGAATTGCAGGATGTGTGCTTTAGGAAAGCTTCATAGCACATCAGCATGACATGGAATCCACACTGAAGTATACAAAAGTTTGATGATACAAAGAAGGAAAAATATTATTGAGTATATTTTCTTTAATTTGACAATAAAACTAAGATAGTACTTGAACTAAACTTACTAAACATGAAAAAGACACTTTTGTTTCTTTATTTTCAGGTAGTTTTTAAAATCTTGAACATTATTTTGTATAAACTTTTCAATCATCTTGGATGGCATGTATGTAATATTATCATTTATGAGTATTTAAGCAACTTGCCGTTAAGTATTTAAAATTTTTTTGGTTTTCTGTATAATATTCTGTAAGATGAATTTGTTTAAATAAATTACATTATGTATATATCAAGTATTAAACTGTTCCTCATGTTTTATCAAAATGAGGTTTTGATTACTTACCTTAAAAAATATCTACATCCCAGGTTATTTCCTGTGAAAATGGTCTTTAACAATAGCACATATCCATACAAATCTAATCAGAATGGAACTGCTACATGGGTTTCTGAGAGTGTAACACTTTAGGTGAGTAGAAAGCCTTGTCTCTCCTGATGAGCAAATTCATGGTTTCAAACTGCTGACCTTTTGGATTCAGTTCAACCCACAACTATTACACCAACATGACTCCTAAATTTTACAGGAGGAGAAAGTCTCATCTTTACCCCTTGGGGTGGCTAGTAGATTTGAACTTCTGACGTTGCCAAGAGTAGTAACCCAATGCATAAGCAGTAATCTACTACACCAAGAGGTTAAATATATCAGTGTCAATGTCTATGTCTCTATAGTTATAGCTATTTCTATCGAGGTAGTTCTACTTATATCTTTATCTATATCTCATTGTTGTTAGATTCCACCAAGCAGGTTCTGACTGATAAAGACAATGTTAGGTTTTATGTCAACTCGGGTGGGCTAGGATTCTCCCATAATATTATCTAACATAATGTAATCAATTCCACGATGGGACATTCTGTGAATCAGCAAGGCATTTATCAGGATAATTGTTGTTGTTGTTAGGTGCCTTGAGTAGGGTTTTTTGTTTGTTTGTTTTGCTTTGTTTTGTTAATTTCCTCAACTAAAGCAGTTTGGCCTTTTAAATTTACTTAAAACCTCTTCAAAGAAGCCCTTATGTTAACCCTGGATCCTTTGAGAATATCTGTCAAGATTGTCTTTTTGAAATTCAAATAACAACTGACATAATAGTCTGAGCTGACTACCTCCCTCATTTAAGGACCTATCAAATCTGATTAGAATGACCATTGTTTTGAACTCAATGTCAGTACTTAAAGTCAGGTCAGAGGCTGATTTGGAACAGACCATCAATTGCTTATATGTAAGGTCAGGTTGAAGCTAAAAAAATTTAACGAAGTCAATGAGAACCAAAATATGACCTTGAGTTTATCTCAGCTGAATATTGAGGACACCTGAAGAACAGATTTTCTGCATCGAAAGACTAATGACAGAAGAGGCGAGGGGCTGTGAGATGACATCAAGAACATCATTCAGCAAGAAAGGAAAGATAATTAGGAAGATGGAAAAGAATCAAAATGGATGTCAGCAGAAACTCTGAAACTTGCCCTTAATCATAGAGTGTGAAGAAATTACAAAGTTACAGAGCTGAATAATCTTTTACATCAAGTTGATGCTGATGCATACTTACGCTATAGGACAGGGTCAAACTTCTGCTATGGGTTCCAGAGGCTGTAACTCTGTACAGGATTAGAAACCCTTGTCTTTTTATCCTGTGGATGGTAGTTTTGAACTGATTGTGGATGGAACTGGTTCTATTAATTGGAAGATTCTATGGGCACAATAGTAAATTATTCAGGAAAGATTAAAAAGAGAAAAAATACAGTCACTGTACCACAGAGAACTGATTGCCATTCAACCATTTCAGGAGTTAGCAGATGAGAAGGAGCCAATGTTGCTTAACAAAGACGTTCAGGCTGCACTGAAAGCAATAGACCTAAACAAGGCTTCATGAATTGATGGCATACCAATTGAAATGTTTCAACAAGCTGAAAAAATATTAGAAGCACTTACTCATCTCTGCCAGGATTTTCGGAAGAAAACTATTTGGCAACCAACATGAAGAGATCCATATTTCTATCCATGCCAAAGAAAGGAGATCTAACATAATGTTCAAATTATAGAGTCATATCATTGATATCACATGCAAGCAAATTTTGCTGAAGATAACCCAACAATGTTTGCAAGCAATATATTGACAGGGAGCTTCCAGAGATGTAGGACAGAAAAAAATGTGAAACAAGGGATGCCATTACTAATGTCAGATTACATATTGGCTGAAAGAACAGAATACCAAAAAATATGTTTTTAGGTGTTTTATTGACTATTCTAAGGCATTTGACTGAGTGGATCATAACAAACTATGGATAGCCTTGAGAAGAATGGGAATTCTAAAACACTTCATTGTGTTTAAGTGAAAATTGTTCATAGAACAAAAGCATTTGTGTGAACAGAACAAGGGACTACTGCATGGTTTAAAATAAGAAAAGTTGTCCATTAAGGTCGTTTCTCTCATTACACTTATTCAATCTGTATACTGAGCTAATAATCAGGGAAGCTGAATCCTATGAAGAAGAATGCTGCATCAGGAAGAGGAAGGCTTATTAAACACCATTGATATGAAGATGACATAACCTTGCTTCCTGAAAGTAAAGAAGACTTTATGCAAATGTTGATAAAGATCAAAGCTTGCAGCCTTCAGTGTGAATTACAACTCAATGTAAATAAAACTAAATTCTTCGCTGCTGGACTAAAACATAACACCATGATAAATGAGGAAATATTGATATTGTCAAGTCTGTTGTCTTGCTTGGATCCACAATCAATGTCCCTGGAAACAGCAGTCAAGAGATCAAAGGCATGTTACATTGGGTAAATCAACTGCACAAGACATCTTTAGATTATTGAAAAGCAAAAATGCTATTTTGAAGACTAAGTTGCACCTGGTCTAA